CTTCTAGTTTTCATACATTTTTAGCATTGAATACCATAAAGACAATAAAATATGGATCAGAGCTCATACCTTTCTAAACTGCATGACCAGATTCATGAGGGAGGAGGTGGTGCTGTGAGCCTGCTGGGCCGTGCCCATCGAGGACTGCAGCAGATCCTCGATAGAGATCTTGTTTCTCAGAGCCTGGTAGAGCAACCTTTGCCGGGAGGTCAGCTGACAGTAAGTCAGGATCTCAATCTGAAGAAGGTAAGGAGAGTTCAAACATTAAAAAAAGAAATATAACTCACATAACATACATGCAGAATAATGCCTCATTAAAACTGTACTGCAGAATCATTGTTCTCAACGAAGGATGCTTCATCATGTGTAGTTCAAATTAACTTTACATTGTCCCCTCCTCTTTGGTCAGCCGAACAAAATGGTTTTGATTTTTCTGAGTCAGCATTACTATCCCATTAGAACACACACAGTGTTTTCCTGTGAGCATAGCCCAAACTGTTATGTGAGTATGGACTTCATGCCATTTGCCCAACAGTCTTTAAACAAACATTCAAATCTCTGGTTTTATCTTGTGCCACGCTTTGATGAAAGCCGTGAAACCCAACGGTAACGATCCATAAAACCATACCGTGAACCACCAGTGAACTTTCCTGGTTAGTATTGGCTTTCAGTGTTCTGACAAAACAAAGAGGAACCAGCGGAGAGCGGAGACGTGAGGGAAGTGGGCTGGCAGGACTACATGTGGGTGCAAAGGAAAGTGAAAAAGACAGATGTGGGCGAGTGGTGAACTCTGTCATTCCTCGAGACTCCCACAGAGCATGAGCGACTGCGTGTGTGCGTGTGTGACCTCGGGTCCAACATCTGTCAGGAGGATCTGCCAGCACAAGCATCACTCATACCCTCATTACAATACTTTCTCTGTCAATGAGGTGTACAGAGAGACAGATGGAGGAAGGCTCCATGTTTAACCAGGAGAGGTGACAAGCATGGCTTCTTACTGACACAATATGGTTGCATTATAGCTGAGAACTGCTGTATAAAATGCAATTACATACAGATCTGTTTTTCCCCAGCAGGCCTGCATGCTCTAATCCTCTCTCTCTCTCTCTATTCAATTCATAAACCAAGTTTTTCATGAAAAAGTCCTCTATTAAAAGTCTGCGTTTTGCTTACCTTGTTTATGAGAAACATGACGAAAGTTTCAGATAATAAAGTATAAACTCTGCTATCTGAACGTTAGTGTTTAAAAAATTATTGCGTTTCAGTTACAGTGTTTTTATATTCTTGGCTCCACCCACCGTCGGTTCAAGCCTTCAGTTTGTGGGATGCAGCCAATCAGAAGAAAGATAGCTTGTTTCACACAGTGGATGAACTCTGGAGAGGCTCCTACAGCCAATATAAAGTAACTAAGTTTTGATTTAAGGTCTGAATCAAACAAAGCTATTGTAGTGACCATACATGGCTTCTGAACTTTTTAGGCAGGCAAAGATGTTAATCTGGGTGGTGAGAAGAAATGTGGAGGGACTGTACTAAAGCACATCACTGTGGCTGAATACTGAACTGCCGGCTATTGGGATGAATCGATGTAACTCATGGAGGAAATTCATCATTGCTGTTTGAATCTAGGTTGTATCAATATACTATTCCATCATGAGCTGCAGCAGAGGTGATTCTGTTGGTGTAGTGGTAAAGGATGTGGATAATTAATGCATCGAGATCATCCACTGCACCACATCTCTAACGTTTGTTTCATTCATTGACACATGGACAGATACAGAAATCTTCAAGCTTTAAGCTCCTATATTGCATCATATTAGATTTCATTTATTGAGATCCTCACTTCTTATTTGGACATATTTTCTATTCTACGGGCTGCTGTCACACTGTCATTTCCCAACATTCGGGATACAGTGGTCCCTCGCTATAACTTGGGTCACCTTTCGTTTTTTTGTTGTTTTTTTTGTATACAGCGCATTGTGTTCTGCATCCTGATCGGCTGTAGACCATTTTTAATCAATCATCTCCGTGCCGTGTCTCCTGTCCGGTACAGAATGTGTTCAGCTTGTCAAATTTACATAAATCTTCGATCGCTAGCAATGTGACTCTGAGTGCTGTACAGTATGTTTGGTGTTTGTTGGGGATAAAAGTTACAATGTCGACGAAACATTTTGGACTGTCAAAGGCACCTGCAGGTGCCTTTGGTTTGATTCTATACTACTGGACTTATTTTTCTATGAAGGTTTGAACTTTGTGTTTAAACAAGAGACAAAAGTGTGAAAATGTTCATGCCTGTCTGAGAAAAGTGTATAAAGTGTGTAGTGAGGGGTTTTAAAACATCTATAATAATTGTAAAAA